GTTTCTATGTAATCAAAACTCTCAAAATAACCGGTTTTCCAGCGGTCACGCCGAGGCGAAGTCTGTTAACAAACGGATTAGCGTTTCGTTTGGATCCGGACGCAAAACTATCGGCATGGTCAGAACGGGTGGTTTTCGTGAAGCCGACAAGGTTGACATTTGTATAATAAATTTTGCCAAGCAGCAGAACAATTTGAAATATGCAAGCGGCGCAGCGCGCCTTGGTGGGGCATTGCTGATTCCCACTGATCACAGCCGATGCCCTGTGGAAACTTGTGAGTTCTTGTAAAGCTGCACAACAGCAGGAGCTTCGGGTACCCTTGACAAGAGTCTACAGGTCTTACCAAGGAGAGACCTGTTACTTAATATGAACTAGCAAAAGGAAGCAGCGGGAGCGGAAAGTGCCCCCCCCCTGAGCCAAACAGCACCATGTAAGCTTACTGTTCTATTGTTCTACCGCAACTGAAAATCAAACCCTGTTTTCCACGGTTCCTGCATAGAATTTTAACCCTTTGACTAGCAACTGGCCCAGTTTCTATCACTGACTGAATAGACAACGTGCTTGTTCCCTTACTGCTACTTTCCGACGCGAGTCTGCTCGACTGAAGCTGCATCAAGTTTGCCCGCCGGTAATTAGGGCGAAAAGCAGCCGCCAAAACCAGGCCGACAAGAGCCTACTCAGAGTAAACGGGAGTTTATGCAAGAGTAGGCATCGAGGTCATACAGATAGAGTAATCCGAGTTCATTCGAAGCGACAGGGGAAATACGGCGATCATAAACAACTTTGTGCGCGCGAGCTTACCAATTTGGGCTTTCTTACGAATTAAATACCCCTAAAACAGAGGCGAGCTCAATGAAATAACACATTCACTGGTCGTTGTGAAGCTGGAGGGATGCAGCTGATATGCATGTTTTGGAAGGGGAGAAGCCGGCTAATAAAACTGGGAGGGGTTGCACCCATAACGGAACAATCTCCCCAATTCTCGGGCCCACGCACACAGCGCCGTGCAGTGCCACCGCCGGACCACTGCGATCCTGCTAAGGAATAAGAATCCGTCGTAGAAACATAATGAATAGATCTATGACGGAGTCAGTAATGAAAATCAGCTTCCACTGACGGGCTCAACGATGTGAGCGAGAATCTGGCTATCCTCTGGTTACACTCATTTTCCCCTCAAACAATCGAACAACCCATGAACTCAAGAAAGTTGTCCAAGTTAAGTTCAGCATCCAGCAGTTGGCCTGAGTTCAACTTGTCCCAAATTCCTCTGGAATCGCGCGCACCTGCCTATACCACGAAATACGTTCGAAGAATGTTGAAAAGGGGACACTGCTCACCCATCAAAGGTTGAAAACAGGTTATCAAACCTACCCAGGCACATCGCAACTATAAGGGCAACATCCTCGGGTCTCATATTGAAGCCTTGAGTGCCTTTGGCTGACTGGTTTCCGTCACCTGAAAAACAAGGATAAAAAAATTCACGATTGTTAAAGAAACGTGCTAGTGGTAGTGAACGAGTGGCAAAAGGAGCTAAATTCTTACACGGTTGGTGGATCAGAACCTGCCTGAGCAGCCGAAAACTTCCATCTGTGTAGCCTCGGTCAATAAGTATCAATCATTCCGGGGAAAAACCGTGGCTCAGGTACTGGGGGAGGGGGAGATGGACGCGTCAGACCTGCATTCAACCACGTGTACGTTTCTGAACGAATTGGAAGCGCAATGCACTCCACCGAACTGATCAGTGTAGTTCATTGCGCAAAACCCTTTGGGGACATTTGGGGGGGGGGGAGGGGTGAGGGTGGGGGCTCCTCAGACAAAGCTAAACATCATAACGGAGATGGGGACTAACGACCAGGACTGGATAGGAGGAACTCTTAGGTGGCTAAATACATGACGGTAGCCGTAGCTTTGCACTTTGAGTGCCCCTCCAAGGGGATTTGCGCATATTAGCTTATTATCTTTTACTGCTTGAATTCAAAAGGAACCCCAGTGATAGCTTGACCGCAGTATACCGCACTGCTGGGAGAATCCCTTCAGGGAATGGGTGTGCTCAGTTGCTGCCCCTACCCATTACTTTGTGGCGCCGTGAAAGCCCTATACAACTGCTATTTTCGACAGCATAAGTTAGTGGTTACTTGGATGGCGACCCCTCCCCACTACTGATGAATTGGGGAAATGAAGAAATGAAAGCACAGAAGAAAAGCCGTTAGCAGGAAGTGAGAAAAACGCCATTTTTACCGTCCCAATGCGTATTTGTGTAGTCAGCCCTATTACTAGGCTACCTACCGCTTTGAGAGAAACTAAACTATTCGAAATTATTTCTTACACGTCCCCACCCCCTGGTTGAGGCAGGCGCTGAGCGTCTGGCTATTGTGCTCCATGAATGATTTACCAACAGCTTGAAGCAGTCCGCTGAGCAGATCACCACCTGAAATGTTCATTTACCAGGCTCAATAAGAAGAAAAAGTAGAGGGAAAAGGCGCAGTTAGGCTTGGTAGAGGCACTGAATAGTCTTCAGCGAAGCTTGTAGAGGCTACTTTGTTAAGACCTCTGAAAACCTTTTGCTAAAGTAGCGCACCACAACAGAGTTTCATAAGAGTTCACAGGTCCTATCAAGGTGATTAAACATGAACAAACAAGAGGAACTGATCAAAGTGCAAAATGCCCCTCCAAGCCAAACACCGCCGTGGGGAAGTTCAAATAGGTAAGACAGGGTTCAGAAAACCACTCTGCTCTGAGCCTTATGCGCTATATAAATCCCACCTACCTTGGTTTCCAGTAGACTGCTGTGATTGAGACGGTGGTGCAGGTTGGGAAGCCTGTCCATTGCCCTCGTTTAGTGATTTCCCGACAGCTTGGAGAAGCCCGCTCAGCAAATCACCTCCGCCTTCTGAAATGTTATCCTGTTGAAGTAACTTGGAAACGAGAGTGTGCTCATAAAGGAGAATAAGGCTTGATTTGGCCCCAATGTACACTCCTTATCCCTGAGCCAGAGTAGGCGTGGCATTTGAGCAAG